GGCGCCGCGGGCGCTTCAGCACCGTGCTCGCCTCTGCCGCCTCCGCCGCCTCCTGAAGCAATTTGGCCTTGATGTACTCTACGCCCTTCTCGTGCAGCACCACCTGCAGCTTGTCCCTCCCCCCCCTATGAGGTGGGGGAATGACAATCTGCAGCTCTGTTGCCTCCGTATCGCCAAACGGCGGCAGCTGCACTGTCTTGAAGCACTCGTCCACTGGAACCTGGCGACTGGCGCGGCCGGACCGCGTGGTCGGGCGGCGGCCTGGCTCCGCTGCAGCGAAGAGCGTCGTCGGCGCCGTTGGCCCCGACGACGCGGCGCGCTGATTTTTCAGCCACGTTAGGAACATCGTGCCTCGCAAGCCCTGAGCCTTGCCGCACGCCCACTTGCTCCAACCTGCGGTGGTCACGGTGATACACTCGCGGTCTCCGATGACCTCGACGGCCGTGACCAGCTCGCGCCCCGTACGGTTGTCGTGCAACACGACGCAGTCGCGCTTGATCGTCGCCATCGCGCGCGCGGCGCGCCGAGGCTGCAGCCCGAGCGCGGTCGCACTTCAGCGCCAAAATTGCTGCGATGGAGTGATGAGGCAACATGTGCGCGGACGAGGTGCTCATGATGAGGTGCGCTGCAGCGCATGTGAAAGATGAAGCGAAGAGCAACGATCACATCGAGCACAACAGTGATGACGAAGCCGCTGCAGCGGCATGTCTGTGGGAAAGGCTGATGTCAGCACCAATATTGTACAGTCGCTGCAGCGACGATGCTGGCGCAACGAATCGTTCCGCGCGCTGCAGCGCCGCGGCAAGCATCGCACTTCGCACCAACCCGCACACTGTTTACACCAATCGGAGGGCCACGCTCGGTGCCGTCATGTGCGCTCGCCGCTCCTTAAGCCCCCTCGTCCTCCTCCCTATGCCAAACCTTGCCCTGCCTCCTCCTCCTCCTCCGCATCACCCCTCCCTCCTGCCTCATCCTCCCGCGTGGTCCCTCTATATCGCCAGCTCAGGCCGTCCTGAGCTTCTTGGCGGGCCGCGGCTGCAGCCGCGGCCGCGGCTTCGCCACCAGGAAGCCGCCCGCGGACAGGGCGCAAGTGTTATGCATCTGGGGCACCCCCACCTGCACCTTGTTGACGCCTGTCCCGAACGTCACGGTCTCCTTTCGGAGCTCCAGGTTGGGCTCTGAGTCGGACTTTGCCACCACCCAGAAAGGGGCCGACAAAGGCGTCGGGGCCCCGCGACCCCTCAGCGGGGGGGCCTGCGAAATGCGGGCCCACGAAGAACTCGTAGAGGCCAACCTTCCCCAACGAGATGCTCTCCGCAACGCAGCCCGCGCTGGCCCGCGTGGACGAGGCCGAAATGCGATCACTCCCACCGCGTGGAGCTACATGGCGCGCAGTCGGTAACATCGCTGACCTCGTCGCTACGGCCTGACGTGCCCCGAAATCCTCGCTACCTTGTGCTCAGCGCAGCGCTGCAGCGCGGCGTCGTCGGAGGGGGGCGCGGACGATTGCGGAAGCACAAGTCTGACGAGCTCACCCACTTTGAACGCTCGCTTGCAGCGCACGGCAGGTGGGTCCTGCATGATCTCCAAGTGCAAAATGTTCGCCTGGTACTTCAGCGCTTGGAGCCGCAGCGCCATGTTGCATGCCCCCTTGAACGCGTCCATCGCCCAACCCTCGTGGGCTGGCGGCAAGTGCTCCTTCGTGAACGACAACTGCTCTTGCACCCTGGACGTCAACTTGTAATTCTCGAGCAATATGTTTACTTCAATCCGCCCGCTCGGCTAACTGCTCCGTGCGCTGCAGCGCATCGACCAACCCATTGCAACTTAAGTACAGGAAATACAATATCGCAGTTACTACCTCCCCCCCCCCCCCCTCCCTGCTCCCTGCACGGGCGGCGGGGTGGCTGCAGCCACGCAATGGAGATCTCTTCGCCCACCAGGTCGCCGTGCAACTTCTTCTGAGCGGTGATCCCATTCTCCGAGATGGAGAGCACCTCGAAGACGTCATCCACCTCCTTCTTCTGGACGATGTGCTTCCCCACGTCGAACCCTGCACGCCGCATGCGGAAGACGTTGCTCTTCAACTCAGCGGCCGACGACGCTGCCGCGCGCGGCGCGTCTGCATCGGCGCTCGCTGGCAACTCGGGTGCGCCATCGCCTTGCTTGTCGGTCTGCACCGCCTTGCCGAACTCGATCCCCAAGCTCTTCATCTGCAGCTGGGCTGGCTCCCCGAGCTCATGGAGGAAGACCTCTCTGGAGGGTCGCTGCAGCGACATTGAATGGCGAAAAGCAGGGAGGGAGGGAAACAAGGAGCACACGAAAGGTGGCGTGAGAAGATACCTGTGCTATATCTGCTACGCATCCGAAAGTGCGGTCTCCTGGCGCTCGCTTCTTCACCAGGTACATGGCACAGCGGACATCCAACTTTGCGATGTGCAAGAAGCCCTGCTCCGCTCCGATATCCAACCTCTTCACGAGCGACCTTGCGTCGGCCATGAGGTTGTCGGCCGCAGCCACGTCCGCCTTGCGGGACGCGACGTGGACGATCTCGTTTGCCTTGATCCGCCCATCGCTTCAGCGATTGCGTTTGGGAATAAAGCAATGTAACGGTGCGTGTGTGTGTGTGTGTGGGGAGGGGGGAGGGGTGGGTACGCAGTTCTAACAATGCAGCGCAATGCATAGATGCGCTGCAGCGCATGTCACTACAAGGGGGCGCCGACAAGCTTATGGATGGTCCTGCACATGCTATCCACCACGTGCTCGCCTGAATAGTTGGCCTTCACGAGCGCCGCTACGACATGCGGGTGCGACTCCTGGTGCTTCCCCCATTTAATCGAATTCAACTTGCGCCAGAATTCAGAGCCGCACATCAAAGTTTGCCCCGAGACGTCCACATTCGTGAAGGTCTTGAGGGCTTCATCTATTTCACGGAGAAGTTCTCCGTTTTGTGGCCCGAGCTCAACAAACTTGCACAAGTCAGCGATCCACGCCTTGCAAGGTGGGTTCGCGTGGCCCGCTTGCTCGGCGATGTCGCGCCAATCGGGCTTGCTGGAACCCTCAGCGAGGCTGTGTGCCAAGAGCATCCGCCCACCTGCCTGCAGCAAGCGCCGAGCCGATCAAGTGCTGCAGCACGGTAAGATATAATGCTCCTGCTCCTCGTTCTCACCTCCTCCCCAACGCACTCCCACTCATCACCCTCCTCGTGCATCATCCTGGTCCTTACTACATACCGCTATATACTATAGTGGGGGTAGGCTGCAGCCTGACCGAATGATCTCGGTCTCGTGAACCGCCTCCCTGACGTCGGCGTTCAAAGCCCTCTGCACGAAGTTCTTGAGGCCCTTCACTTTGGCCACCGCGTGCTTGATGATCAACCACGTCAGGCCCCTTTTGACTGCCGTCGCAAGTTGCGGATGCAACGCGCACAGCTTTTCGGAGTCGATGTTGCCCCGAGAGTCTGCCAGCGCCTTCACTGTGGTCGGCGCCTTGGCCAGCACGCAGCGGAGGAAGACGTTCATGTGGGAGCCGCCCACTGACGTATACCGCGATGAGTCCAGCGGGGGGGCACCGACCCCCGCTGAGCCGCGAAAGGCGGTCGTTCGCCATCGCGGTCTCTTCCAACTGCGCCCCCTGCGGGGCCTCGAAGGCAGTGGCTGCAGCCGTCTTGGCCAAGACGAAGCCCTGGGCGCAAATCTTCGCGCCTAAATTGTGAGCCCGCGCAGGGTTCACTAACGAACCGCTGCGGTTCCGAATGTCGATGCCCATCTGGTTCGGTGGGACCTGCTGGTAATACGCTAGCCCCTCCGCCAGCAGGAACTCCTTCAGTTGATCCCACCCCGATGCCAACCTCCCCGAGGAATTGCTTTCCTCGATGTACTGCAAGATCTGCTCCTCCTGACGCGCCTGCAGCGCCATGCCAGCGCTATATATAGCGCCGAATGCAACGTGCGAGCCCGCGGGCGCGACGGCGGATGCGGCGCGCGGCCGCAGCTTGAGACAAGCTGTCGCGCGGCGTGCGCGTGAACATCGACTTGCATGGACATGCAACTTGCGAGCAAAAATGTTGATCTGGGCTGCAGCCCGAGGCCCATGAAGCACGAGCGCGCACGCGCTGCAGCGCGATGCGACATCACGACGACAACCATTTTTTTGCGCTGCAGCGCAAAGTAACATACGTGCTATCAAATTTGGAGCGCTGCAGCGCTCAATGCGACCATTGAAAAACAACGAATACAACAAAACAGACTTGACATGTGCATTCAAATTCCATGCAAACGGAGCTGGGCGAAAATGAAGATCCGAACAACGTGCAACTAGAACCCATGCATTTAACTCAACATTCAGCGCTGCAGCGCTTCATATTCAGCGCACGCAGCGCTTCATGTTCATATAAATCCGAAGGCAGCGCTGCAGCGCTTCTCATATTTAAAGCAAAAACCAGGACACCGACTCCAAATCAAAATGCAAAATTTGTAGCGCTGCAACGCTCAACGAACAAACTCAGCTCTTTCAAGACGTGGATTTACCTTTTTTTCCCTGTGCATGGCCCTTGGATAACAAGTGCAATGTAACCGCTAAGTCACTTATAACCTACTTAGCAAACTAGCTATAAGCGGTTATAAGTGGTTAGCTAAGTGCGCTAAGCACTTAGCTAACTGGTTATAAGTGGATAGCTAAGTACTTACTAAGTCATTACTAAGTGGGCCACTTAGTAATGACTGAGTAAGTACTTAGCTAAGTCCGCTAACTACTTACTAAGTACTTAACTTAGCGTAGTAAGTATGTTAAGTACTTAGCAACCGCCGCGGCCATCCAAGCAGGGTGCGTTCGAACCAGAGTTTCGAGGCGAATCCAGCCGTGGCGACGTGGGCCTCCCAGTAGACCCCAAAGGGCGAAAACGATGGAAGCGTAGCGGCGACGAGCAGTACCTTTTCCTTCTCTGCCGTCCTCCCTCCCACCCTTCCTCCCTGGGCATCCTCCGCCGCCAGCCCCACAAATCACCAGATCGAGCCTTGCTGCAGCGGGGAACTGGCCCGCGAGAGGAAGGCGTGGGCCTTCGCCCTCCGGGCAGTGAGGCGCGAGGCGGGGTTCATCACCAGCAGGGACCGCAGGAGGTCCATCCCGGCCTCCAGAGGCCTCCCAAGCGGGGCCCGAGCAGGTGAGGTCGGAGGATGCGCATGGCTGGCGACGCCGGCGATACGTCGCTGACGTCGGCGTGGAGAATACCGGGCCCCACATCGAGCCGCATCGTCGATGTGCATCGGCGATGCGGCGCGATCCTCCGACCCCAGCCTCTCGAGCCCCTGTTGGGAGGCCCGGAGCCTCGCTGAGCTCGGGGCGCCTCTCGCGGATGGAGCCGAGGTCGGTGGGCGGCAGCTTCGGAAAGTGCGGGCTCCAGTGCGCGAGGTGGTGCTCAAAGCCAGGCCAGGTGGCCTCGGTGGGGGTGCCCAGCAGCTCCAGGATCTTGAAGACGGTGGTTATTTCGGAGTCTCCAGGGAACGTCGGGCGGCCAGTGGCCATCTCAGCGAGGACGCAGCCAGCAGACCAGAGGTCCACCTCGGGGCCGTACTGGGGATGTCCCAGAAGCAGCTCCGGGCCACGGTACCATAGGGTGACGACCTCTCGCGTGTACTTGTGGGCGGGACGCCAGAACGTACGCGCGAGGCCAAAATCGCAGATCTTGAGGCCATCAACCGGGTGGATGAGGATATTCTGCGGCTTGATGTCGCGGTGGATAATGCCCACGGAATGGCAGGCGTGGAGTCCATTGAGAAGGCCCGCGAAATGATGGAAGATGTCCGCCAGGGGCAACTGGGTGCCGGCCAGACGGTAGCCCTTGAGGACCTGGTGGAGGTCGTCTGGGACGTACTCGAAGACCAGCTGATACTCTACCATGCTCACGATCTGGAAGTCCTTGAGCTGCACGATATTGCGGTGGGCGAAATCCCGCAACAAAGAAACTTCGCGGATTACGTCGGCCGGCACGCCGTCACTGTGGCCCTCGTCGAACATAAACCGCTTGAGCGCAACCCGCTCGTTGGTGTCGCGATCCCTCGCCAGGAAGACGGTACCATAGGCCCCACGACCGACGACTTCCAGCGGCTCGTACCTCTGCGCCATGGCCGCAGCATCCGTCTGGTCGTGGTCCGACTCGTCTTCCAAGCTGCCCGCGTTCGAGCTGCTCGCGTCCGTGGAGGCCTGGTCCGGTGCCCAGATGTCCTGTTCGCCCTCGGCCCTGGTCTTCCTGGCGCCGCCCTCGGGTGCCGGCGGCTGCAAGCCGTGCGCCGGGGCTGTGACCGCAGCCAGCCAAGGCGGCTCTCTGGAGCTGGGCTTCATCGCCCCGTCCACGCACATCGTGTCTGGAGTGTGGCACAACGAAAAATCGCAGACGTCAGCAGACTCCGATCGACGAGCCAGTCCTGCTGAGTGATCTACGAGTGGCGGGAGGATGGCACCGGAGGAAGCAGCCATTGGCAAGAAGTTACTTGAGCGAAAATGCCCTCCACGTTTTGATACTGAAGCCTTCAGCGTTATTGAGGCTTGAGGGCATGTTTGGCTCATGGCCGCAGCGCGCGTTATGTAGGGGAGGGGAAGAAGGCTGGGGTGGGACATGACGCACCGCCCCCCGCCCCGCCCGCAGAGTGCCCCATGGCACCACTGCAGCGCGCGCGCGCACCGCAGTCTTTAGCCAAGTGAGATCCTGGCGATTGTGAGCACCCCATGTCGTCTGCGAGCGCCACAATACGTTTGCTAGGGCCACAACATGCCAGCGAACACCACGACATACTGGCGAGCGACAGTGTCCTCGTGACCACCATACGCCGCGGGAAGCCAGACCCTTTCAGAACTACGATAGCCTTGGAAAGCTGCAATTTGCGTAACAGCATGCCAGCCACAACCAGTACCGCATTTAGCAGGCGAATGCGACATCACGTGAATAGGTACCATATTGGCCTGCGCTCGCCAAACAAGTACGCCATGGAAGTATACAGAGCAGTGCGGTGGACCCTCGGGGGACCAGAATTAGCTTGCCAGCGCCACAGCTCGCGTGCGAGTAGAAGAAACTGCCTGTGAGCACCTCAGTGGATTGCGAGCACCACGCAGCCCTTGTTACGAGACCTATGTTGCTTCACATCACCAATTTGGCCCCTGCTGACTGTTTCAAAATAATATATTGGGATGAAACCCTGCCGCTGGATACATCGAGCACAGTTGATCACAACACAAACGCTCCTGCGAACCCCCGCCAAAATGGCAAGAAATGGTAAGCTCAGATCCGCATGGCTACATTGCAACCGAACCGCTTGACCACCATCTCGACCGAACTGGCGGAATTCGACCACGCGTCCGACAAAATGCGTTCGACGAGGGATGCGCTGCACAATGCCCTGGCCACGGGCAGCGCTACGAGGGAAAGCGGGCCCTTCGAGGTGTCACTTTCAGCACCCCTGAAAGTGACACCTCCCAGGGCCCACTTAAAGAGCACCAGAAAGGCTCCAAGAAGGCCTCGAGAAGGCCCCAGGGCGGCACCAAGAGGGCCCCCAGAGGGACCCAAGAGAGGCCCCAAGAAGGGCCCAAGAGGGCCCTCCGCGGTGTCACTTTCAACTCCCGTGAAAATGACACCTCCCAGGGCCCACTTGGGGCCTCAGAAAAGCTCTAAGAAGGCCCCGAAAGGGCCACAGAGAGCCGCCCTGGGTTCAACTCCGCGTGGCGGAGTTGGAAGCGATAACTTCAATACCCTACTGGAGGCCTCTTAGGGGCCCTAAGACGGCACTGAAGAACCACATCGGGGCTTTTTCAAAAGCAGAGGAGGGCGCAAAAAGGGGCCTCAGTGAGCCCCTGGTCTAACTCCACCTGGCGGAATTGGAAGCGATATCGACCGGCGCCTTCATGGAACCGCTCGGAGCTTCCAAGACGGCTCCATAAGGCCCCAGGAGGGCCCCAAGAGGATCGAACAACGATTCCTGGAAGTGCACCAGTGAGACCCTTGTTGACCTCCGCCTGGCGGAGTTGGAAGCGACAATTTGCAGTGCCCTCTTGGGGCCTCTGGGGGGCCCCTCAGAAAGCTTTGGGGAGCACAGTGAAGGCCTTCGCAGGGCCGCGTGAGAGCCGTACCAGGGCCGCATGTGTGCGCGGATGGGGGCGACGAGTGCTGACGCTGACGAATATGAGAATGATGAGGGCGATCAAGGCTGGCCCGAAACAAATCCTGGCGCCATTGCAGGCCGCCGATTATCGGCCACGCCGCCAGGACGACGCCAAGCAACAAAACGACACCAACCAACAAAACGACACCAACCAACAAACCAACAAATCGACACCGACCAACAAAAGGACACCAAGCAACAAAACGACACCAAGCAACAAAACGACACCAACCAACGAAACGACACCAACCAACAAAACGGCACGAATCAACAAAACGGCACTGACCAACCAAACGACAAATCACTTCACGACACCAATGAACAACGCGAAATCCACCGACCGCCAACCAAACATAAAATCAACCGACACAACGAAACCAACCCATAGAGCCAGACCAACCACTGGATTCGTGAGTCGGGGTAGTCATGGAAGTGAGCCGCTGCAGCCCGCGGAAGCCATTAACAGTGACCAGAGCACCGCAATGCAGCAGCGTCCCCGGGCGGCGGCGGGAGTCTCGGATCTCCCGCGGGACTGGAGCGTAGCGAGTTCGTCCTGGGTCCGGTTTAGTGAAGTGAAGAATTTCGGGGTGCTTGCATGGCAAAAACCTTCACTTCACTAATCTGGGGCCCCTGGAGCCCCAGGGCGTTTCAGGTCCCCTCGCTGTCTGGGTAGTCCAGGGGGCGCAGTGGCGGCTTACCAGAGGCCCTGTTCCCTAGCCTCACTTGCTTTCACCCGTGGTGCTCGACGGCCGTCTCGGAGCTGTCTTGTGGCGGTCTGGGGCAATCCCGAAGCCTCTTGGAGCCATCCCAAGGCCCCAAGGCGCCACCAATGGGGGCCCCAAGAGAGCTCCCAGAGGGCCCCGAAAGGCCTACAACAGATTGCACGTTCGCGCGAATTCTTTGTACCACTTTGGGGGGTCCCTCTTGGGGCCCTCGGGGAACGTTCTTGGGGCCCTCCGGGGGCCCACTGGGGCCCCGGGAAGGCCCCAAGAACGCTCCCAGAGGGCCCCAAGAATGCTCCAAGAGGGCCCCAAGAGGACCCCCACAAGTGACAAAAACTATTTGCATGAGGGTGCAACTTACTCGGCGCCTCTTGGGGCGCTCTTGGAGCCGTGCTGGGCGCCACTCGTGGACGACATGGGCTGGGCGACGGCATGTGGACCCTGTCGCTTGGGCCATCGGGGGTGCTCCCCAATGGGGCCACGAAGCGTGTGACCGTATGACGGAATGGGCTGGGCGGCGGCCTGTGGGCCCTGCCTGTGGGGCCGTCGGTGCAGCTCCCCGTGGGGCCACGGAACGTGCGAAACGTATGCCGAAATATGCTGGGCGGCGGCCTGGGAAACCTGCCGCTGGGACCTTTTTTTGGTGGAGCTGCCTATGGGGGCACGAAATGTTTGAGGGTGTCTCAATGTGGCCTGGGCGACGGCATGTGGACCTTGCCGCCGGGACCTCCGATGAACTCCTCATGGGGACACGAAGCGTCTGAGGGGCGTGCCGACATGGGCTGGGCGGCGCACTAAGGACCCTGCCGATGGGGCCTTCGGTGGAACACCTCACAAGGCCACGAGACTTGCGGGGGATGTGGCGAAGCAGAGACGCGGGGGAACAAGGGGGGTGTTTTGATGATGTTGATGAGGATGGTGGTGGTATTGATGATGGAGACGACGAGAATGCTGATGATGCCGATGATGATGGTGATGGCGACGATGACGATGGACGATGACGACGGGGACACGCGGAGAGCAGGGGCAAATACGCGAAGAGGGAGGACGAGGGAGGGGGTCGGAAGGAATGACGCGGGGCGGTGCATCTTCAAAACGAAGAACCAACACTGCAATATGGTAGGACATTTCTGGACGACCCCCCCCCGTGGCGCGGTCAATGTCCGCGACAGCATCGCTGGCACTACGAACCAAATGTTCGAACTCTTCCTGCGACGTTACCCGCGGGGTGGATCAGCCAGGGATGGGGGGCGAAACCGCCCCAGCGCAAAGCAAATGTACAATCCTGAGAAACCCCAGCCCACATCAACCGATCCGCAATAAGCACGCAAGCCTTTGACGACCACAACGCACGTGACGTCGCATAACGCGACGCGCCATCGAAAACGTTCGACGCGCGCCTCGGAATGACATCGGGCTTCATGGAACGTCGAATGGAAAACATGAAAAACCGCCCTGTGGGCTCCGAAACCCAAAATTACTGATGTGAAGGATTTCGGGTCGTCGACTTGTGAGCACCGTCGTGCGCCTGCGGCGGCACAAACGGCGAGGGACACCAGACCCTGCTACGCCCATAATAGCCGTCGGCTGTCACGTACGCACCGATGTGCTTGTGACCAGCGCATGGCGAGGGAAGCCCGACAATGCCACATCACAAAAACCCGCAAACAACAATATTCAAGACACACGCCTTCGAACACAACGACGTTCCGTGCTTGCGCCGACCGTGCAAGGCCAACACTAACTTGCGACCGCAACCAAATGCACAACAGTATGCCAGACCCTGCCAGTACAACAATAGCCTGCGAGCGCCACAACCTGCAGGCACCACAATATCCTTCGAGTGCAACACCAACCCTTTAAGCATGCACGACACTGTGCCAAACCTTTCTGGTACCACAGGCAGCGAATACAACAATACGTTTACGAGTGCAAGAATGCGCGTGTGAACAACCCCGTAGCCCACGAACGCCATTACATGCTTGTGAGCACCACAGCGTGCCTTGGACCACCAGGCGGCGAGAGAAGCCTGACCCTGCCACGACCGCAGTGGCCTGCGAGCACCACCAGCATGCATCAGAGCATACCAAGCCCACCCAGTACCGAAGTCCGCCTGCGAGCACAACAACAGCATGCGAGCACCACGGCGGTATGCAGAGCGAGGACCACTGTGCGCCTGCGGACGCCACAAAAGCCTGCGAGCGCTCCATCCTGCCTGTGGCCACCACGCTCTACCCACGAACGCCCTAACATGCTCGACGGCACCATAGAATGGCCAACAGGAGGAGGAGGAGGAGGAGGAGGAGGAGGAGGAGGAGGAGGAACCACAACATGCCTGTGGCTCCGCATCTGGGTGGCGAAGAAACCGCACAAAAACGCCTGCGAGCACCACGCGAAGGCCTGCGAGCACCGCACGCACGGCTGCGAGCACGGCGCCCGCGCACGACGCGGGGACCCTGCGAGGTCAGCTGCGCACCTCGGCCCGACCACAGCTGCGGCCGGCCGCGATGCCGTGGTCCACGCGTGCGGCCCGGCGGCGCCAAGGGGGCC